GGGAAGTAGGGGAAGGGGTAGACCCAGGAAGAATTGGAAGGACGTGATTAGGCAGGATTTAGGACTTCTCAACCTGACTGAGGATATGGCCTTAGATGGGAACCTTTGGAAAACTAGGATTAGAGTAGTTGGATAGGAGCTCGGTGTTGTAGAGGTTGTTTTGTAGTGTGTTGTATTTGTTTAGAATCTTTTGCTATTCCTTGTACTTGTTGCTTGTACTTGGCGCTTTATATGGGCTATATTGTGTTCCCTTCCATATTTTTGTGCAGGTGGAGCCGGGGGTCTCTTCGAAACAGCCTCCCTACTTCCGAGTAGGGACAAGGTCTGCGTACACACACCCTCCCCAGACCCTACTATTGTGGGATCCAACTGAGTTGTTGTTGTTGTTGTTGTTGATCTATGCACTTCATATTTTACTAATTGAACTCTTTTTTTATTTTTTTTTGTGCACTTCATGATTTATGCACTTCATATTTTCTAATTCACTTTCTCTTCCTATTTTCATTAATTATTTGATAAAGTAATATATGCATGTCAATACTAGCTTTGTAGGTCTTTTGATATATTTTTTAAATATGTAATTGTAATTTTTAAGCTCTACAACATTTTTCATATAAAATGATTTTAAAATAGCATGAAAGAAAAATTAAAGTAGAACAAAAACATTGAAAATATGACAAAATAGGACTTTCATATTTATATTTCTGAAATAGGATTTAAAATGTATTTCCATTACCAAATATGGTCATGTATATTACCAAAAAGTATAGTAATGTGCACATGTACAATGCTACATTACAACCATATAACCACAGTGCAAAGTCCTATTTTGGGGAAAAAAACATGAAAGTCATATTTTGTACTTTTTTCTATATTTTAGTCCTATTTCAGATGATTTCTGAAATAACATCAGTCAAATATGTTGAATCGAAACAGACAATTGAAATTAAGACGAAGGGAATAATTACTAAGTACTTCTTACATCCAATTTATTTACATTGTTCGAAGTTCAAACTTCGAACAATGTATACAATTCCATTTCTTTAAAAAATTGATTGTATCTATAGTAAAAAATAAAAGGTACAAAATACATATTTAAAAACTATATAGAAACTTCTATATAACAAGACACGGAAAAAATATTCTATTCTATCAAATGACCAATAAAAATATACAAGTAAACAAAATTTATCGGGATGCTCAAATAGTAAAAATATTGTCAACTCACCATTTTATTTATTTTAAATATTTATTTCTAATAGTTATTTGTTTAATAAATTTTTAAACAAAAATCTTACTCCCTTTAATTTTATTATGGAGTGCATATATCACTATTCTTTCACCTCAACATTTTACTATTTTAATTTATTTCTAAATTTTTGCAAAAAAAATTATCCCAATTACATTACTATTGCACCATCTTTTACTACATTAACTCCATTTATATTAAATCGATTATCTAATACGGAGTATATAATTGCATTAGATATTGATTTTTCTACTAAATTTATTACTCTAGCTAATAAATATAACTAACCATTAAAAATTTATAAACATAAAATCTCTTTTTTAAAGGTTTTTAATGCTAATATCCTTGGTTTTTCTTTACGTTTTACATTAATATAAATGAAATTTGCACTATATAGTATTAAAACATATATTCTTTTTTAATGTAGTACTTAATTTTTTTAATTTAAATAGTACTTCAATAATGTCTAATGGCAGGAATAATATCCAGTAATAATGGTACTACATTTAGTTTGAACAATGTTGTTGGACATTTAGTTGAACAATGACCAGTGAATATTGAATAATGGTACTACATTGGAAAATAAAAACATATGGTACTACATTGAGATAGTCACTATGTTTTAGTACTATTTAGGTAAATTTTCCTTAATATAATATGTTTTTAAGATCATATTTAATTTTTAGTGTTAAAACCTATCTCAGTCTATATTTTTTTGTTTTTTACTTTTTAAAATGTTTTTTAACATTAAAAAAATGTATTTATTTATAAATAAAATTAAGCTACCCCGACCCAAATTTATACTCCACGTAAAAAATTAAACGTTTTTAAACTATCACAACTTTAATACGGAGTATAAGAAATTAAAGTTAACACATAAATTATACGGAGTATAAAATAATTGGTTTTATTTTATTGATTTTCAAGTTTTTGGTTTTATTTTACAATTACAAAAAATAATTTTTATGTGTCTGGATTTATTTTTCAAATAAAATTATTTTGAAGTAATTGTTATTTTTATTTTCAGAAAATAATTGTTTTTTACTCCTTCCGTCCCAAAATGTAAGCAGCATTACGCTAAACGAAGTAATTTTTTGAATTTTTTCAATTCAATTTATTTTAAATAATGATCTACAAATAAAAAATAAAATTTACATATTTAAAAACTACGTCAAAAATTCTACAAAACAATAAAACATAAAAATTTAATAAAATTTCCTATAATTTTTAAATAGTGGAGTATTGTTATGAGTCGAATTTCAAGGATTATCTTCCAAACTTTGCCCATTTTTTGTGACTCCAACGGTAAAATCTAGAGATAAAGTCGGAACTCGGAAGACTACAATTTAAAGATTGAAACTTGGAAACTAGTTAGAAGAATTTTATGTTTACAAATAAATTTGCCTCTTTACTATTTACATGGTCAAATTTAATTCACTTTTTTCCCTATTTTCATTGGTCATTTGATAAAATAATATATTTATGTCACTATTAGTTTGGGAAAAATGCACCTCAGCCTCCTATGGTTTCAAAAAGGAGCTTTAACACCCCTTGTGGTTTTAAAAGTAACTTCTAATATACCTCTAGTTTGTAAAAGGTGCACATGCACCCCATTTTGATATTCACGCGCTAGCATGCGAATGGTTCTCTCTTTTTTAAAACATTTTATGTAATATAGGGGAAAAGTATTTATCTTGACCCATCTCCAGAACACTCATGGCAGAAGCAACCCATTATGCAAGATGAAATTATTTGGGGAAACAATCAAAGCAAAAATAAATCAGAAAATCATGGTAGAAAAATTATTCACTCAATATCTATGCCATTATACATCCATTTTATAAAACATTTCATAGAACATTATTCACTCAACATCAAGTGCCAATATACATCAGATCAATTCAAAAAAATCACAACAGAAGAATTATGCACCAAAACAATTTCATTTCATAGAGCATGATAATTCAAACAGTACTTTCACAATGTGAACATCAACACCAAATTTTAAAAGGTAAAAAAATAGATGTTCTTCGAAAGACATCATAAAATACATAATACAATCCAGTAATCAACCAAGATCCAATAATGCCATCATGTTTGCCCATGGTTTAGAGATAAGTTCCTCTCCAGTGGTAGACCTCTTATAGCTTGCTGTAATTTCATATATAATAAATATAATTAACCCGATTTTAAAAATTCAGTAAAGAGTTCATCAAAATATAAAAATTAGTAAAGACATTATCAATGAATGGATTTTTTTCACCTGTGAAGGCATGGTGCCATTAGTGATGATGTTCTCATATGTAGTTCTTTGGCCTTGTGCTTCAGTTTCTTTATTATTTTTACTTGGTTTGCCCCTTTTTCTTGGCTTAATAGAATTTTGTGTGTTTGGTTCCTTCTTACAAAACCTCTTGTTATGACCTTGTTTACCACAATTTGCACATGTAACAGTCAATCCTTTCCTTGTTGACTTTCTCACATCCTCCTCTTCCTGTGCAGATTTTCTTCTGTTTTTCTTGGGTCTTCCAATCTTTCTTTTAACAACACAAGGTAGCAACGGTGTATATAACGTGTTGACATAGTTATGTGAACCTGGTACAGGGTGAATAACATTCCCATATGCCTTTTTATATGTGGCAACGTAGAAGTATTTGTCCACGTAGAGATCTTCATTATATCTGAACCTGTGACACACGGCTAATGCATGCAAACATGGGACACCAGTGAGTTGATACTTCCTGCAAGTGCACTCCTTTGAACTGAACTTAACCACATGAGTGACATCGTCTTTCATCACCTGGAACTCTTCCAAACTAGCAGGCATTACACTCCAATTTACTGCATTGTCCATCATCTTCCTCATTTTTCTCTTAATGTTAGGGCAAATCATACTTCTATTATATGCCTCAATTCCTATTTTCTTTACATTGATCCTACACATCAATTTGCTCCTAATATTCTCACACATGCTAATGATTGGAAGTCCTCTTGCTTCTAACAGATAACTATTACAAGATTCGGCTATATTATTTGTGAGTGCATCACACTTAACATGAGTTGGAAACATACATCTCGACCAATGCACAGCTGGAATTCCAGACAACCACTCAAACGCAGTTTGTTGTTCACTAATCTTTGGGTCAATCTCCTTAATCTCATTCATAACTCTATTAAAACCCTCCTCGGTCGTGCAAGAAGCTGCTCTCCAGAATAGTTCTTTTAGCTCTAAACTTGACCATTTCTTTCTGAAATTTTCATACATATGCCTTAGACAGAATCTGTGATGCACCTTTGGATACTCCTTCTTGAATACCTCTAACAAACCTTTTTGTCTATCACTAATGTAGCATATTCCCTTCTCCACGGGATCACCAATTACTATATGCAAGTGATGTAAAAACCAACTCCAGTTTAAATTGTTCTCCACGGGCACTATTGCAAAAGCAATTGGAATTATGTTGTCGTTCCATCCCTTGTAGAGGCTCCACGGGTACATCCTTGACATGTTGTTTGATCCTGTGCCCTAAATACTTGTAGGTAGCAGCTGTGTTATCAAACCTCCACGCACAATGTGTCTTCGAACAATTCATTGTTTTGATCTGAAATGTAGGACCACCTTGGACCCATGATGCTCTTACTCTCCAATTGTCGCATGTCTGACACTTGACTAAAATTCTATTATGCTCATTCTTCATAAACTCAAGCTGAATGTCATGCCTCACTGAATAATCTCTGATGACCATCCTGTACTCTTTGTCATTCTTGAACTTTAGCATAGGCTCTAGTACAAATTTCTCCATCTCAGAATCAGACTTAAACTCTGGACATTTATTATCATCTAGACAACTTATTTCTTCATCCTCCACATCACTAAATGCATCTTCAGTATCACCATTGCCTCTTTCAGTATCAACACCATTTTTCTTCTTCTTGACCCTTTTATCTCTCAGCTCCCTCTCTTTTTTCTTTAGCAAGGTCAACTTCACCTTATTACACCTTTGATCATCAGTGTCATCAAATAAACCTTCCTCATCAGATAATTCTAGGTCCTCAAAAAGAAAATCAGGAATTCCCTCCTCTGCCTCAATAGGTTGATCACCATTCTTCTTCCCTACTTTATCATTTTTATCAACTTCCTGAACATCATCTAACCTCTCTTCCGAGTCATCATTACCAACCCCGTCTCCATTATCATTTTGACATTGGTTGTACAAATTAAAACTAAGTAACTCCATGAAGGAACATTGTGTAAAATCATGAGGAACCTCAAACCCAACATCTATATTTGCAGCCTCTAAGTCATTTTGTATCCTTAATTCGTCCATCTCATACATCTAAAGTTAAAAAAAAACAAAAACAAATTATTTAGATAGTATATTAGAAAAAAAATGTCCATCTCATGCCTAATAGTCTCTAAGACTAAACGTGTAACCTTCAAAATATGGCTCAATTCACAAATGCCACATTGGATGATGACACACCACAATTCAAGATTAGAGTTTAAACATAAACAAACACATTACGAATAAATAAATTTTTAGTTTTTTTGATCTTTCTAATTCTTTATGATGGCACACCATAATTCAAGATTAGAGTTTAAACACAAACAAACACATCACAAATAGATAAATTTTTAATTTGTTTGATCTTTTTAATTCTTTATGAAAGTTTATAAAGAATACCACTTTCCAGTGGATTTGGCCTTGATACTTGCAATCCCACACCCCATAAAAACATAAAACCCCATCTCAAAACAAGCACCATAGATGTACAGGTTGTAAACTAACAATACTAGTGACAAGGTAAGTATGCAATTAAAATAAAAATAAAATATCCCAAATTGATCAGAAAAAACCCTAATTGAAAAAGTCATATATTTGGAATGAAATTCATACATGATTCGGTAATACCTTCAGTATATTGCTGGAAACACATGGGAAGAACCAAATAGCACGGGAAAAAATTGGAAGAATGATTGGATATGAAGAAAATAGCAACGATGGAGGTAGTGAGAATTTGGGAAAGTTGGGTGAGGTATATTGTTGATAAAAGTGAGTTAATTATTAAAAAAATAAATTAGGAGTGCGTGTGCACCCTTTTAAAACTAAAGGTATATTACAAGTTATTTTTGAAAGGACAGGGGGTGTAGGAGCTCTTTATTAAAAGCATAGGGGGCTATGGTGCATTTTCCCTCTATTAGTTTTGTAGATATTTTGATTTAGTTTTTAAATATGTAATTTTTATTTTTTTTAATTTTACACCATTTTTTTGATTTAAACAACTTCAGTCAGATATCGTAAACCAAAACATATGGAATACAAACTACAAATTACACTATTCAAAACTACATCAAAAATCTTACAAAATAAGAGTAACAAAAAAAATCTTAATTTATCAAATGATCAATGGAAACATACATACAAACATAAATTATCACAAAACCGTAATATTAACTGAGAAGATTAATTTGGTAGTATGAATTCTGGAGTTATAATATTAGATTTTTAAGGCTGAACAAGAGTTTAAAAATCTAATGTTACTGGATCATGATATCAATATAACAAAGAAAGACTCTTGAAGTGAGAGTAAAAAAAACAACATTTTTGAACTGTTCCAGCAAGGTAGGAGCAAGAGACCCATGTTGTATAACATCATCTTCTATTCTTCCTAATCAAAATACCTTTGACTATTCAATACAAAAAGACTCAACCCAAAGCCTAGTTAGATCTAACCAAAGAAAAAGAAGTGAGGGTTCATCTCTGTGGTGGAAACATGGCTTGTAAGGACCTTAGTGGTTGTGATTGTTGTATCATTCATTCTAAAGAGAAATCAGGCTCTTCTGGCTTGCACAGCTGTGGCATGTTCAAGCTAGAAGGGGCAGGGTCAGCCACCTTAACCTTTTGAACTCTTCTTGTATTTGCAGCAAACTTGGAGGCCAAGATTGTGGCTCCAAGGTGCTGCGCGTTGTCCCCGCCATCTTCATCACCACCTGATGACTGCCCATCATCTCCTTCGTCTTCAATGGGCACATAATGATAATACTCCCTCTCCTGTACAGACAACTCCTTGGCCAACTTCTTCTTTTTGTACCTTCTCCATGCTGCCTGTATGTAACATGCACCCCATGTCCTCCACTGTTGGGAGTAGTGCCTGAAAGTAAGGTTCTATAGTATCAGAACACAAGTGACCAATCGAGTCAAAACTATTCGCTTCGGTTACGAGTTTTTTTTTTTTTTTGTTTACCTGAAAGCATGCTGCAGCCTCTTGCTGTGAAGGTGCTTGAACTGGACCGCGAAGAACTTCAGGTCTTCTGCACGAAGCGCGAACGCCTCTACTTCGCAGCGCGCCCGCACGGTGCGGGTTGAAGAAGGCAGGTTCAGAGAGGAGTTTGGGACCAGAGCCCAGGTGAGTAGTTCCTCCCCACAGAAGTCTCCTGGTCTGAGGATGATGGTGTTGAAGAACCCAGATCTTCCTCCATTTGTGGTGGAGCTTTGGAGTTGGCCTCTGATGATGAAAAGCATCTCGCTCACTGGATCCCCCTCCCGCACAATGTACGTGTCTTTCGTGCTCAGAGATGAGACCAGACGCTCGCAGATGGCATCCAGTAATTGGTCATCCATCTGTGCGAAGAATGGGACCTGCATGCCAGAAAATCAGTACTTTTGGGTTGAATCTAATGCGAGAGAGGCCTGACTACCTATCTAAGGATGATCATGTCCTATTAGTGTAGAAGAAAGACTACATACATACATACCCTGCGAACAAGGTTGAGACAAAGATGTCTCTTGATCTCACGGCGTATGTCAAGGGGCAATGATTCCAGGATGGTTTCTTCCTTCACTCCTCTTGTTGCCAGCCATTTGTACTGCTCGAATTGACGAACCCGTCTCTGGAGATCTGCAGGTAATTGCCTATGCCTCATCCATTCTTCTGTATCTCTTCTCCTTATCCTCCATTCCTCCAGTCTCACCGTCAGAGATTGCAGGTATGTCTTCATATATGTATGACAAATGTTTTCATTATTATTGCATTTAAGAAGAGAGAGGAATATAGTATTTGCATGCAAGAAGGTACTGCATAGTTATAAGAACATGAAGAGCAATGCTTAATTACCTGCATATTTCCAATCAAATGAGAAAATAGAATTAAACCAATGATACACACGGAAATGCAGAAGACTGTTTCCCCGACGTAAGTGCTAGTCATCAGATTCTGTCCATATGAACTGCACACAACATTATTCGAATACATTTATAGCTATAGAGCTTTCTTAATCTAGACAATGAGTGCTTCAAAGCATAGTGGACTACATTATGTATGAAGTGGTCGTTGTGAAGGCGTAATAAATCAAGAAAATGTTATAGAGATGAAGCTAAAACAAAAACCTCAAATTTCTTAGGCCCCACCAGAGGCAATAGAGATACTTCTCAATGAAACTAGAAGAAGCCACTTCACTAGTGAACGCATCGGCAAACATTCCAAACTTGAAATTAGAATCGTCATTTTTGGGATCGCAACGCATGAGCAAAGAAGTGGTGTTCAGCCAATACTCCCTCTCAAGCTTATGCGTATTCAAGCTCTCACAGTCAAGAAAACTGGGTATGCATGGGGGAACGGCATTGCGCTCGATCTCACACTGCATTGTCCAGCAGGAATGCTGCCGTCCTATAGAAGACAGGTACCATGAAGCCCCTAGAACCTGCGCCGTTTGGGATGCCAAGCTCATTATTCTAATGGGGGGGGGGGCTAAAAGAGTCACTATTCAGTACTGGGTAACATGAAGGAAAGAACAGAGTTGTAAGTGAGCGAGGAAGATGAATTTACATGGCTGGCTAACATGAAGAGGATGAGGTTATATGCAGCTCCAGCCCAGGCTGTCTTAGCAATAAAACCTGTTGTTTTGATAATCCTCTGGTTCAATGGAATGCTGACCAGAAGCCGTGGAAGATATTGAATGAGGACGATCAGGGCTATGGTGTTGTTGTCGTGACCCGACCCGTTTTTCCCCTTTGTTGCCGGAATCACATACCATATCACAATCTGCAACAGAAATGACATAATGCAGTCAGAAACAATGGCGGCTTCAATTCATTAATTAGCAATATCCATTTACTGGATTGGGGATAATTATTGCCTGGGGCAAAGGGAGAGTGGCTGCGAAATCAATTATGAAATCCGATTTGAGATATCTCATCGCGATCTCTCTGGAATCCATCACGAGCTCGCCCCGCCCGAAAACCCTAGAACTCGGGGCGACGAAGGCGGTGCGGAATTTCAACAGCATATGGAGGACGTAGAAGAAGTCGGTGAGGGTGCGGAAGTAGGTGATGGCGACGGAGGCGCCGTTGTCGGTCGACATGCAGGCCTTGCCGCCGACGTAGGGAAGGTAGAAATAGAGGGGATCTATGGAGAGGGAGACGAGGCAGGTGACGAGGAAGAAGTGGTTCCACAGGTTGACGACGTGGCTGCTGGGGTCGAAGATCCGGTCCCGCCATTGGGGCTCGTGGGGCTCGTCCGGGGAGCCCGCCGCCGTCGGGGCCGCCGCTGGGGATTTCAGAGATCGCCGGAATTGGCGGAGGCGTGATGCCGGCCTTGAGAATAATCTATCCATCTTCCATGGCGGAGCCCGATCGCGACGGCCGGATTCCGCAATATTCTACCGGTATATGGAATAATAATAATAGTAGCAGTAGTAATAACTCGGGTGGCTATCGGCGGCCGGGAACAATGCCGGAAAACCAAGATATTCGAGGGCTGCCGTGGTGGAGGAGATTGATTGCAGAGAAAGAGAAAATTATCAGGCGGAGGAGGGAGAAATTCATGGGTGTATAATATGAAATTTAGTTTGGACCGCAGAAAATTTCTTGGTAATGAGATGATGGAAATGGAGATTGGAGGGAGAACTTTTTAGTAACGTGCTATATTAATGGTGTGGGTTCGTAAAATTGGAATCGGAATATGCTATGAGGCCAAAGTGCCATGCACATGACTAAAATTGACCGTTCCTATTCTTTCTAATCTCTCGATAAGCCTTCCCATTCTTGATTCGAACACACTCTTCATTCCTTCTATTGTACTCCACAAGTTGATTTTGATTTTGGAGTCTAATTTTAACTTGAAAGTCAAAATCAACTTGTGGATGCAATTGAAGGATGTGTGGGGTGTGTTCGAGTTGGGGCAAGGTGGAGGGTTTACCGAGGGGACTATGGGGTGTAGGAACCGTCAATTTTAAGAACGGGGCACCGGAGCGCTCCCGGATTATCCCATGAGATTGTCGGGCAATATCATGGGAACCGTCCCCATATTAATGACCAAATTGCTCCCTTATCTCTTCTTAGTTTAGAAAATTGAGATCAATATCTCTTCTGTTTTTAAAATTTACAGAGTATTTCTAAAATCTTTGTGATTTTAAGACATTACACCCATTGTCATTCTGACCTTTTTCCAACACTTTCTGTCATTTTCTGTCGAAGAAGGTCATTAGTTCATATTTTTCAAACAACAGAGCTCATACTTAGTTTTTATTCATTTTTTGTTTTCCCCCCTTTTTTTACTCTTTTTTTTCATTTCTTTGTTTATTTTTCGGAAAAAAGTTTTATTAATTTCTTTTCTAATATTTTTAATCATGTTTTGAAAAATTCAAAATTCTTTGTATTAAGAGCTAGTATATTGCTTAACTATTCAGAGGCAAATGTCTGATCAATTCAGATAAGGGGTCTTAACCATTCAGACTCTGTATAATACTTAACCATTCAGAGGCAAATGTCTGAGCCATTCATCTGAACCAGTAAGAGGCTGAAACAAACAATCTGAACCATTAAGTGCTGAACCATTCAGACATCTGAACCATTAAGAGGCTGAAACAAACAGCCCCTGAGTCTTTGACTCGGGTATGATTAGTTTAACCGCCAACTCTTTACTCCCCGCTCTTTCGAGTCGACGTCTAATCTAGTTTCTTTGAAAATTGTGCATTGTTAATTATGCCTCTAGGAGTATATGTGGTCGCCGGACTGAGTTTCAGTTCATAATCTTCATCTCTTTCGATCTAGTTCAAGAAAACTGTAATCATTGTCAACCACCTCTGTCGTTGAAATTGTCGGATTAGGTGCCGTCTTCCGCCGCTGAAACCAACTACGTAAGAAGTTGAGGAGGCCGGGGGAGTCGGGCTTTGCTCTAAGATATGGATATTTTGAAGTAATCAAATAAATACTTTACTTTCCAACAAGATTTTAAATGACCCCAATCGAATCAAATATTGATGAATATCATTCGTATTCATTAGTTTTAGAAGATATTTGGATTCGTATTTGGTTCGAAAATTTCAGAACATTTGTATTCAAATCGTTTAAAAAAAAATTCGATTGGGACCAAACTATTCGATTTTTTTAATTTTAAAATATCTTATAAATATTTAATTTATTTCTTAAAAATGTGAATTATATTAAAATATTTTTCCCAAAAACCCTTTTCATGGATATAGTTTAAAACTAGTTATTGAGGGAAAAATTATAAACTCAAAATTTACATATTGAAGATAAAAATACTAACATACATTTGATTTCTATGTAATAGTATATCCTCTATTTATTTTTAAATATTTACTATACTATTTTGACTCATCTTTTTGAATATATATTCGCTTAAGAACTAAATCGAATATTGATATATTCATATATGTATATGCCCCTTGGTTCCCATGACATTGGTTCCCAATGTCATGGGATGACCGGGGGTGCTCCAGTGCCCAGTTCGTAAAATTGAAATTTCCTTCCCACCCCGTCCCAACCCGAATTCACCACCACCCTCTTCAATTGCACCCCCAAGTTAATTTTGACTTTGGAGTCAAATTTTGACTCTAAGTCAAAATTACTGGGGGTGCAATTGAAGGGGGTGTGGGGGTGTGTTCGGGTCGGAGTGGGAGGGTTTACCAGGGGATTAAGGAGGATAAGAACAGTCAATTTTATGAATGGAGCACCGGAGCACTCTCGGGTCATCCCATGACATTAGTTTCCAATGTCATGGGAACCGGCCTGATGTATATGTTAATGTAACGAATAACAAATACAGAGTACTACCTCCGTCCCGCTATATTCGTCCACTTTTGACTTTTGGAACTGTTCATCTAAGCACTTTGACTCATCAAATTCTCTCAATGTGTAAGTCTAAATATAGTCATGTGTGATCTTGTTTGATTTGTCTTAACATATAGATTATTAATATATAATTTCTATAATTTTTTAATATACAAATTACAAGATAAAATGGATTAAAGAAGTGCATTGGATGGTGTGTAAAAATGAAAGTGGACAAATATAGTGGGACGGAGGGAGTAATATTTATATTCGTAAATGATTCAATTTTTCAAATTAAAATCAATACAAAATGAATACAAATCACGAATTGAGGCCCCGTTTGGTACACGGAATTCAAACTATGGAATTATAATTGAGGACTTCAATTCCAATTCTGGTGTTTGGTAGCACAAAAATTATGTGGATTTGGAATTGATAGTGCAAGAAATGAATTGGAATTGGCAAAATTCAATTCTATGGAATTGAATCCCATGGAATTTCAATTCCAATTCAATTCCAATTTCATCAATTCCGTATACCAAATGGACCCTGAATCAAAATTATTTGATTCATTTACAATTATATTCCAAAGCATGATAAAAGTGTTTTGGGCTGACCGTTTTGCTCCTATTGGGCTTCGTCTTTAGTTGGCTAAATTGTTGTATTGAGCCGTTAATCATGTCAAACTTTCTACATATGTCCATATCTCATTGATTTGGACTTTACGAACTTCAAAAAAGAGACAAATGCTGGATGATGAGGAAAAAAATGGATTATCAAATATATGATACGGAGTATTAAAAAATACTCGCATTATTTTTGTAAATGACTTGAATCAATTCTTGCTTAATTTATTAGTTAATGCTAATCTTAGCAGTTGTTTTTGTTAATTATATATAGATGCTTCCACAGTTTTAATTTCATATTTATTCTTAATTGTATGTGTAATAATTTAGTTACATATTTATTTACTATATAATATGGATAAATGAAGCAAAAAAATTAGGATCACATATAGATTTCATAAATTTTAGAAGGATCAAAACATAGACCATCCAAGCTTTAAATTTGGCCGGGGATGACCATTTTTTTTAAACGAAAATTTGTTGGAAGGATTTAATTAATTTTTTAAAAAAATTAAAAGAAAGTTTTCTGATTTTACGTGATAAAAAACATTTTTTTGCCATGATTTAATATTCGATACAGATACATAATTGGATTACATCACTATTTTAATAAATTTTTTCATTATGTAATTTTGTTTAATTAGTGTATTGAATATGAAATTATTTTTATTATTTATTCAATATTTAATATCTTTATTTTTTTTTAATGGAACCTAAGCTTCCACCCCGTGTCAAGTACTCCCTCTATCCCTTAAAAAACTTCCCATTTTGACTTTTAAAGGATTTAAGGGGAGTGTATTTTGGTGTTGACTTTCCAAAATTACCCTTTGATGTGATGAATAAAGTAGGATGTGATGGGTAGATAAATAGAGAAAAAGTGTGATGTGATAGGTAGGTTAAAATTTAATAGGGGTAAAAGTAACTTTTTAATAGGAAAAGAAAATTGTTTTTTGAGACGGATGAAAAAAGAAAGGGAAAGACGGAGGGAGTATTATTTTTATTTAGTACATTATATATTTACATAATATGTAATCTACTGTCTTGTATTAGTTTCTAACAAAAACTTGTTTCTATCCAAATAGTGTTGTTGTTAAAACGAAAAAGTAAGTCAAACTTCTAATTTCATTTTAATTTCTATCAATTCCAAACTGATTTTCTTGTATTAAAAATGAATTTTTGGTAAACTATTTATTTGGTGTACAGATTTTGACTTTTTATAAATAAACTATAATCATACATTTTTCATATTTATTAACTTCTATATTAAAATTGGTTTAAAAAGAATACGAAATCTCCAAATAGTCCTTTATTTATAACTAGGATTTTTCATATTCAGTCAATATTTATCAACTATTATGTTCGTGATCCTTATTGATTAAATAGCATTCTATGTTTAGTCATTTTCTAATATCGCGAAGACGGAAAAATAGACGAATGACCTAATGTGGAAGATACCCAAATAATAAGGACCATCAACATAATAAAGTACTCCTTCCGTTTCTTAAAATCATTTCTCTTTCATTTTTTTTGTTTTCCTTAAAACACTCCCTTTTTCTATTAAAAAAACCACTTTTACTCCTAATTTTTCATACCTTACCTATCACATCATACTTTTTCACTAATAACTAAACTATCACATCGTACTTTTACCCATAACATCAGGGGTAAAATTGGAAAGCTAACTAAAATTACACTTTTCTTATTTTGCCCCAAAATCAAAACAAGAACCGTTTTAAGAAACGGAGGGATTACTATTAGTTAATGAAGGAGGGGACATTCATAAACAAGAACTTCTTCCACCATATTCGGAGGGATGGTGCAACATTATTTTGCAAGCATTAAGATTTTTTTAAATAATTTAGTTTTTTTTAGTAAATTCCTAAAATAGTCCTTTGTAGTAATGTATTTTCCCAAATCAGTCCTCAATAAGTTTTAATTACCTATGTGGTCCTCTATAATTGAGATTTATTTCCAAGATGGTCCTTTCTAAATAAAGTTACTCAAATGAGGATTAATTGAGGGCATTTGGGTATTTTTTTTATCCGCTAAATTTAGAATTAATTCTTAAAATGATCATTTATAATGAAGTGCTTTCCAAAATGGTTTTTCTAATTAAATATGTGTATTTGATTTTAAATTTAAAAGATTTTTTCTAAATTTTAAATAATTCATGAATTATTTATAGTCAATGTATTTTGTAAATTTTACATTTAG